AGGGGATACATATATCAGGATATAGGGGGGGGTGTCAGGATATGGGTGGTGGAGTGGGGTGTGTCAGGATATGGGTGGTGGAGCGGGGTGTGTCAGGATAGACAGCAGTCAGTAGTGGAAACACTGATTTGTAACAGGACTGCAATGGCAGTGACCTCTAGCAGTCTCCTGTACTATGTCTGCAGTCTCTGACCGTCTCCTGTAGTGTGCGTGCAGGTAAGAGGTCTCATGTATTTGGAGCCATAACTGATTTTTTCGGCGTGTCGCTAACTCCAGTCTATGGAAATAAATGACAAGAAACAGTCCGAGCGTTCCCCTGAGGAGACGTCTCTCCATGTCTCTGACCCTCTCTGACCATTCGCACTGACAGGTGGCGTCCAGGTGGACTTTTGAAACAGATGGATGATGACGGGCGACTTGCAGGACAAAGACCGACACGCACAGAGGTGACAAGAGGAAGCCGGAGGGGGTGACATTAGAGTGTAAGCTCCTCTGTACAGAGACTGATGTGACTGGCTCAGTGTTCTCTGTACGGCACGGCGGTATATGTTGGTGCTATATCAATGTATAATAAGATGGGTGCAGGTGGGGTAGGGCTCCCCCTTTATTCGGTGACCCCCCTATATCATGTGACAGACGTCCTCAGTGGTGTCACGTCTGTATCGGGGGCGGCCCAGTTCTGTTTGGGGGTCCCGGGGGGGAGTCTCAGTACATAGGGGGAGGAGAATAGAAGGGACACAGAACAGTTCCGGGTTAGTGAGAGTTACAGCGCAGACTGTGAAAGTGCAATCACAAGAACGCAGCAGAGACGATGCTGAATCATGAGGCAACAGTGAACAGGATTGGTTGGAACAGCTGGAGGGGAGGAGTTAGACGGAGGGGTGTGAGAACAGTGAGAGGGAGGCGTGTGAGAACAGCTGGAGGGGAGGAGTTAGAGGGTGGGGTGTGAGAACAGCTGGAGGGGAGGAGTTAGAGGGAGGGGTGTGAGAACAGCTGGAAGGAGGAGTTAGAGGGAGGGGTGTGAGAACAGCTGGAGGGGAGGAGCTAGAGGGAGGGGAGTGAGAACAGTTAGAGGGAGGGGTGTGAGAACAGCTGGAGGGGAGGAGTTAGAGGGAGATGTGTGAGAACAGCTGGAGGGGAGGAACTATAGGGAGGGGAGTGAGAGCAGCTGGAGGGGAGGAGCTAGAGGGAGGGGTGTGAGAACAGGTGGAGGGGAGGAGTTAGTGGGAATGATGTGAGAACAGCTGGAAGGGAGGAGTCGGAGGGAGGTGTGGAAGTACAGGTGGAGGGGAGGAGTTAGAGGGAGATGTGTGAGACCAGCTGGAGGGGAGGAGCTATAGGGAGGGGTGTGAGAACAGGTGGAGGGGAGGAGTTAGAGGGAGGGTGTGAACAGGTGGAGGGGAGGAGTTAGAGGGAGGGTGTGAACAGCTGGAGGGGAGGAGTTAGCGGGAATGATGTGAGAACAGCTGGAAGGGAAGAGTCGGAGGGAGGTGTGCAAGAATAGCTGGAGGGGAGGAGTTAGAGGGCAGGGTATGAGAACAGCTGGAGGGGAGGAGTTAGAGGGAGGGGTGTCAGAATAGGTGGAGGGGAGGAGTTAGAAGGAGGGGTATGAGACCAGCTGGGGGGAGGAGTATAAAAATAGTTGGGGAGGAGTTATGGAGAGTGATAAGCTATAGCTAAGTGAATGACTTCTCAAGGTGGTTAGGACGTAGAAAGGGGAGGAGTTCCTGGGAGGGGAGGAGTTACAAGGAGGCATAGGAGAACATCTGGGTGGGGAGAAGTTATAGATGTATAAAAAAACATGTGGAGGAGGGAAGTTGCAGACAGGGGAGGGGTTACAGCGAGGGGAGGAGTTATGGTAAGTGACGTGTTAGAGAAGGTTGTTTGTCCCCATCCTTAGGGGAGGAGTTTCAGAGAGGGGAGGGATTACAGGAAGGGGAGGGGTTATGTTAAGGAGAATCATTACAGGAGGTTGTATGAGGGCATCCTTAGGGGAGGAGTTACAAACAGGGGAGGAGTTAAAGAGAGGGGAGGGGTTATGGTAAGTAGAATCATTAGAGGAGGTTGCATGTCCCCATTCTTAGGGGAGGAGTTAAAGAGAGGGGAGGGTTTATAGGAGGGGGAGGAGTTATTAAAAGAGGAAGTAACACAGGAGGTTGTATGGGAAGATCCTTAGGGGGAGGAGTTACAGAGAGAGGAGGGGTTACAGGGACGGGAAGAGTTATGGTTGGGTAAAGTGTTAGAGGAGGTTGTATGTCCACATCCTTAGGGGAGGGGTTACAGAGAGGGGGAGGGGTTATGATAGAGGAAGTATTACAGGAGGTTGTATGTCCCCCATCCCTAGGGGAGGAGTTACAGAGAGGGATTACATGGAGGGGAGGGGTTACAGGGGCTATGAGAACAGCTGTCAGAACTTGTGATTCCATTTCGATCTCATGCAGTCGGGGG